TGGTTACAATTGGGATAAATGGGAATTCCAGAACACTTTATTGTGGTCATGTGGAACCTGAATATAGACCAAGCAGCAGTCATTCAAACAGAAAAAGAGGATACTGCACAGTGTGTGTAAAAATTGTCTCCTATTTGATATGTGTGCTGAGCAAATAATCCAAGAAGCTGGACTATATGAAGGATGTGGCATTAGAATTGGAGAAAGATTCATTAACAACCATTAATATGTATATAGTACAACCTTGCTTGTTGGAAGTGAGGACTTGAAGTACTTGCTAAAACACAAAGATTCTAGTTTTCAATATGTTATTATGTGCCATTGAGTTGAACAGTCATAGCTGAATCTCCAGTAAATTTTCAAAAACTTTAAATTGCACAGAAAGAGATTTCCCATCATTCTCTCACAGAACAACTTTGTATATTCAAATTGCTTGCCTTTGGGTTGGCAGTACAACTCCTTACCACTAAGTCACCTGAGCTCCTAAGCTTTCAGTATGGACTACATTTTAACATAAACAGAGCAAATATTTTCACAGCTGGACCAATAAGCAACATCATGACATACAAAGTACTGAAGTTGTCAAAAATGTAATTTTATTTAGATCTACAATCAACACTGTGGAGTTTATTATTAAAAAGTGGCTTTCCTAGTTACTGAACTTGACTTTAAAATGTGGATGGCTGGGAATATGCAAATATGGCATGTTAGCCTATTCAAAGTGGATTGGCTGGGTCACAAGTCTACAAGGGGATTGGCTAGTCTCACCAATCCATAAGGGGATTGACTGTCTTGTCATTCAGTTGAGTGATCCAGTAGCAGAAGGAGACTTCCCCACCAGTGAAGAAGAAAAAGAAGTAAGAGACTATAACACATCCTTCAGACCCAGAAATTCTTGCTCCAGCTACACCTATGGCTATAGCAGCCGTAGTCGAACCAGAGAACCAACCTGAGATGGGGTTACCTTAGGACTGCTATCCTGCACACACTGAACCAGAGCTAAGCTAAGAGCCTTTGCCAAAATTTGTTGAACAGCTGTAAGGTGGGGTGGGAGAACCAATATTGGCTGGACTGAGATCATTGTAACACAGGTCTTAAGCACAAGACTCAAGGCTGAGGTGCCTGCAAGTAGATTTTGACCTGGGTTATGACCTTTTCTGTGTTATCTGTGAGCTAACACAACTAATTTTGGACCCAGTAAAGCAGTACGATTGGTGTTGAGATGGGCAGAAAGAGGTACATGAGCATGGGAAACATAGCTGACCTCATGGGAATTGGTTTATTTTGTTGTTGCTATTGATGGGAACAGTTCTCCATTGTGAAATCGATAAAGGTCAGATATGGCTGTACCCATGTGACCCTTGCTCTTTCTACAAATACCCACTGGAAGTAGCAGTCGAGACATTAAATAGTGTTTTTCACTGGCCACATCTACTGCAAAAGACCACTTTGAGTTAAAAGGCAATGGCGGCATCTTGAGGACTAAGGTACTCTTGACTTAGGCCATGACATTTTCAGTCTCCTCATATGCATGTGAAAGCTGAGCATGAATAAGGGGAAAGTAAGAAGAATTGATGCCTTTGAATTATGGAGATGGTGACACATATTAAATATACTTTGTAGTGCTAGAAGAACAAACCTGTTTTAGAAATACAACCAAGATGCTCCTCAGGAGGGAAACTGTTGAGACTTTAGACCCCTCTCCCCCTCCTATACATTGGTTGAATTATTAGAAGGGACTAGGCCCTGAAGGACATCATTCTTGGTAAAGCAGATGGTCTGTGAACAAGAAAACAACCCTCAATGGGATGGATTAATATAGCAGCTGCAAAAATGAGCTATAACAACAGTGATTGTGAGAATGGCACAGGAATGGATGTTTCATTGTTTGTTGTACATGGAGTGGCTGAGTTGGAACCTGCTCAACATCATCTAACAACAAAAATAATTTCTCATCAGAAATCAATGATAAAGTACATTTCATCATTTCATCAAAGATATGGCTTCATCCTGTATTATTCCTTCAAAGAATTGCTAACTTGCTATTACTGGATCCCTGCTGATTCTTAAATGCTCCCTGAAATGACTTAACTAAAATAGTTCCAGAGTACTGGAACTTGCTAGTACCAAACAAGAAAGATCAGGCAGAAAGGAAAAATGGCATGTTCAGTGTTATGTTTTGAAACACAGGTCTGCAAAGCATGATATTTAAATAGTTGCTCTTTAAAAAATACCTTTGAGTCCATTTCAGCTCACATGTATCAGTGGCACTGTGCTCCAAAGGGCTTTCAGTGGCTGATTTTTTGGAAGTAAATAACCAAGTTTGTCTTCCAAAGTGCCTCTGGGCAAACTCAAACCTCCAGTCCTTCTGTTAGCACCACTGAGAAATTCCAGTCCCAGTTTAAACAGGCAGATTATAAAAGACTGATGTATTTGATGAGAGGTTTATAGGCAGAGGTATTTAGTTGTTAAGGCCTAAGTACAGTTTACAGCTTTTCCTTGAGTATCAGGTATGGGAGTGATAAGGGAAACCATTAATCTAAAACATTATAGTGGTATTTTCAGTGGCTTCTGAATTGTTGCTGTTACTGCTGTTGAGTCACCTGCGACCCATAGCAACCCAATGTACAGCAGCTCTAAACCCTGCTCTGTCCTGAGCCAGTCTCACTAATGCTGACACACCAATCCCCATTGCTCCAGTAACTGTCTCAATCCTCTCATCTAGGATCTTCCACTTCAATACTGTCCTTCCACTCTTCCAAGCATGATGGCTTTCTTCAAGGACTCATCTCTCTTGGCTACATGCCCAAAGTATGTGAGACAGAGCTTCAAAATCCTAGTCTCCAAGGAGAAACTTGGTTTCACCCTCTCTAAGACAGACCTATTTGTTTTCTTGGGAGCTTGTGGTATGTTCAAGACTCTTCTCCAATACTACAATTCAAAGGCATCAATTCTTCGTCATCTTTTAGTCATTGTCCAGCTCTCTGAAGTATAACAAGTAATTGTGAAGGCCATGGTCTGGATTAGGCACACCTTAGTCTCTAGACAGACATTGTTGCTTTTTAGCACTCTGGAGAGGTCCCTGGCAGCAGATTTAGCCAATGCAATTTGTCTTTTGATTTCCTGACTGCTGATGTTAAGAGTATTGATTGTGGAGCCGAGCAAGCTGTAATTGTTAACAACCTCAATCTCTTGTCCACCCTCATGGTGCTGCCAATTGGCCCAGTGGTGAGAATCTTTGTCTTCTTGATGTTGAGCGTCAATCCATATTGAAGACTGCAGTCCTTGACCTTCTACAGCAAGGTTTACTTCAGTTTCAGAAAGCAAGACTGTCATTTGCATAATGTAGTTTGTTGATGAGTCTACCACCAATCCTGATGTCACATTCCTTTTCATAAAGTCCTACTTTCCAAATGATGTGTTCTACATATAGATTGAAAAGTTATGGAGACAAGATGAATCCTTGAAGGCTTCTGAATTAGTTTTATAGAATTTTATTTTTTCTACCATTAAATCCAGATAATATTTTTGTATCATAATTTATATTAAGTAAAATGAGTTCTGTCAAAGTGTTCCCCAGCTGTACTTTGAGATACTTTTGTCCATTTTCATTATATGCTTAGTCTCAACTTTCATCACAGGAAGGACACATAGTATCTCTAGCAATGCATAAGCATGAGGGAAAGTTTTCGCTTTAAACAAGTGAAAGACTTCAGACATGTTTAATGCAAGCACTCTTTCTTTCTTTCTTTCCCCTCTTGATTTTCCAATAGTGAAGCTTGGCTGCAGCATGTCAGGATTGGCTGTCACTTCTGTACATGTTAGCATGGTCTTTTTCTGATGAACTGAACTGGGCTGTCTCCATGACAGTGGAAGATATCATTGGAGCAGCTCAATATCAGCAGTCAAAACCAGGCCAGGTGTTGACTGTGGAGCAGGCCATTATGTTCAAGGTCATATTGAAACGGAAGAAAATTAAATCAACAAGAACCAAAATACGATCTTGAGTTTTTCCCCACCTGAATTTAAAAATCATCATAAGTATAGGTTTGAAGTACTGAACACCAATTACCTTCACCAGGGGAATTTTGGGATAACATCTAGGATTATCATCTGTGAAGAGAGAAAATGATCACTACAAAGACAGAGGAGAAAGAAAAAACCAAAATGGATGTAAAAAAAGACCCTGAAAATGGCATTGAGAAGCCAGAACAAAGGGAAGAGATGCTGAAATAAGAGAGACAAACAGAAGATTTCAAAGGGCAGCTTGAGACAACAAAACAATTATAATGGAATATACAGAGAGCTGAAATAAAAAAAAAAATTCACCCTTCAATTTATAATACTTATGGACCAAAAGAAAAAAATATTGAATGATCCAGGAAACATCAAAAGAAGACAGAAGTAATACACAGAATCATTGCACTAAAAGCAATTAATTGACTGAAACGGAAATATTTCAGAAGTACCATATGATCAAGAGCCAATGGTAATGAAGGAAAAAGTTCAAGCTGCAATAAAGGCATGGCAAAAAATAAGGCCCCAGGAATTGATAGGCTACCAATTGACATGTTTCAAATGACAGCTGCTGCCTTGGATGTGCTCACCAGACTATGCCAGGAAATTTGGAGAATGACTGGAAGAGATCCATATTTGTTCCCATTCCCAGAAAGGTGCTCTAACAGATTGCAGAAATTAATGAATAATGTAATTAATAACACATGTAAGCAAAATACTCCTGAAGATTATTTAAAACCAGCTAGAAACAGTACAGAGATGGAACTACCAGAAGTTTACACTGGACTTAGGAGAAGCCGTTGCACCAAGGCTATTGCTGATGTCAGATGGATCCTGCTTGAAAGCAAAGAATATCAGAAGATGTTTATTTGTGTTTTATTGACTATAAAAAGGCATTTGATTGTGGATAATAACCAATTATGGCTAACATTGAGAAGAAAACTCATGTAAAACCTAAACTTAGACCTGTTGTGCAAACATAGCAAGGGAACACTACATGGTTTAAAATTAAGATTGGTGTGTGCAGCTACCGGCGTTTTCTCAAGCTGTGTGAGGAGTGGCCAGTGGACGAGACCAAACGAGGCCGGGACTTGGGCGCTTATCTGCGGCAGTGGGTAGCCCAGGTCTTTCAGGAGGGAGAGAACACGCAGATTGCAGAGCCTGAGACCTGTGATCAAATGTACAAGAGCTTAGCACGACTCCATTCAAACTATTACAAGCACAAGTGCCCACGCTCCAGAGAAACAAGCTTCAGCGGCCTGTCCTTGGAAGAGTACAAGCTCATTCTGTCCACAGAGGCCTTGGAAGAATTTAATGAAATGAATAAAGGCATGTGGAAGAAACTGCAGCAGAAGTTTGCCCCCCAGAATCCTGAGGACATGCACAAGGCCTGGGCCCGGTCCTTATCTCGCCCACGTACATGAGTGTGGTTGCTTGTATGTTGTCATCATAAATAAAACTGTCAGTTCCCCAAAAAAAAAGATTGGTGTGTGCAAAACAACTATGAGATATCATATTACCCCGGTAAGAATAGCAAAATTTAACAGAACAGCAAGCAACAAATGCTGGCGAGGTTGTAGAGAAACTGGAAGCTTTAATCACTGTTGGTGGAAGTGTAAAATGGTGCAACCACTGTGGAAGGTGGTGTGGCACTTTCTCAAAATGTTGGAAATAGAAATACCATTTGACCCAGCAATTCCACTACTGGGAATATACCCCAAAGAGACCATAACGGACACCCAAGAAGATATGTGTACACCCATGTTTATCGCGGCTTTGTTCACAATAGCAAGGAGTTGGAAACAACCTAAGTGCCCATCAACAAGCGAATGGATAGAGAAGCTGTGATATATTCACACAATGGAATACTACACTTCATTGAAAAACAAGGAACTCATGCAATATTCAAAATGGGTGACCCTGGAGGATATTATGCTGAGTGAAATATCTCAGTCACATAAGGACAAATACTGCATAATGTCACTGTTGTAAAACAGGACTGACATCGGGGTTGAGAGGAGACAGAAAGATGGGATAAATAATGTATACTGCATTGAGACAGATGAGGGAGATAACTGTTTAAAAGGGATATGTGATTAGGTATTATTGTCATGACAGGAGTCCAGAATGAAGGCTGCATAGTGGAGTGGACCTAGGGGGGAGGGATTTTAAAACAATGAAAAAAATTTTGTTTTACTTTTCCAAGAGGATAGTGTACTAGGGGGGAGGGTTGGGAGGGGAGAAAGTGCAACAATGAATGGAAACCCAAAGTCTGCAAATTTTCATTAAAATTAATAATAATAAATATAATAATAATAAAAAATGGTGTGTAGGGTGAAAAGCAATGTATCTGAACTTTGTAAGTAAACCAGTATAAAATAAAAATTTTCTTTAAAAAAGAAGAATGTTTTGTCTTAGGGTTGCACCCTTTCTCTATACCTATTCAATCTGTATGCTGAGAAAATTACTCAAGGAGCTGGACTCTGTGAAGAAGAATGTGGCATGAGGATGCAGATGATATACCTTTGCTTGCTGAAAGTGAGAAGGACTTGAAGTGCTTGCTGCAGAAGATCTAACACTGCAGCCTTCAACATGAATTCTATCTCAACATCAAGAAAACAAATATTCCCACCACGGGATCAATAGGCACTATCATGAAGGATTGAGATTGTTTACAACTTCATCTTACTTGGATTCACAATCAATACACTTGGTACCAACAGTCAGGAGATGAGAAAACATGTTGCACTGGGAAAGTCTGCAGTTATGAACCTCTCTAGATTTTTTTTATCTCTAGATTTTTTATTTAAATTTTTATTACTTTTTTTGTGTGTGTACCGTCAGATCAGATCTGACTGGTACAGGAGGATATTGCTCCTCCTCCGGCAGAGCATCTGGTGGACTCGAACCGTGTACCTCTGGGATTGCAGTGCAGCTTCTTGCCACTAGGCCACCAGAGCTCCCTCTCTAGATTTTTGAGGAGCCATGATAATAAATTTGAAGACTAAAATGGTCCTGATTCAGGTCATGGTCTTTTCAGTCATGACAGAAGAATTGATACCTTTAAACACGGATGTTGGAGAATAGTATTGAATATCTCATGGGCTGCCAAAATAACAGATATGTCTTGGAGAAGGAGCAGAGTGTGCTCCTTGGTGACAAAGATGATAAATATATTTATTTTGAGCATGATGCCAGAAGAGGCTATTCCTTGAAGAGGGACACAATGCTTAGAAAGCTGGAGGGATGGCAGAAGAGACTGGTGGGTTGACACAGTGACTGCAGGAGTGGGCTTGAGTATGTTAGAGATTGTGAAGATGGCACAGGATAGGCCAGGGTTCAGATCTGTTGTTCATAGGGTCACTGTGAGTTGTACTTGTCTCAGCAGCACCTGACAACAACAGAGGGTACCAGAGACCAGCACTTCGTCTTTAGTGTGCTGGTCAGAGAATGTGCTTGTCAATTCCTGAATAATATGCTCCACTGTTTGGAACGCAGTTTCTTCTTAGTAACTCTAGGAGGTTAGTTGAGATTCTTCCAGCGTTACCTTGCAGAGCCCTGTAGAGTTCCCAAAGAAGTTTCATTTGAATATCAAATTTGGTTACCAAATGTTACTTCTTTAAGCCAAAATTCCTGATAATCTTCCGTTGTTTTCCCTACCTACATTTAGTCACTGCATCATATTGCAGGCAAGTTAATGGTTGCAAGAAAGATAGTGAAGATTTGTCCCTGGAGACTTTCCAAGGATTCTATAAAAGATGAGACATTTTGAAGAACAGCAGTTGTAACAATGAAATTATGATTCAGTAATGCACCACAGAGAATAAATGCATGGCTGGCTATATAGGTCTTCTAGCTAATATTGATGTCACTTTATAATCATAGCACAAATGATTGCAGATTTCAAAAGCATCCTACCTGCCTCGCTCTTGAAAAAGAACAATTTCCTTTTCTTCATTATACTAAAAAGGTACTGGAATTACGTCATTAAGTTATAAAACCAATTGTGGTGTTCCGTGAATGAATGAGGAACCAACACCAGTCATTCCCAAGGGAACAGATACACCTATATCAAACACTAACTTTGCTTGCCATGTATTTAAGGCACAGGAAATCCAGCAAGGTATATAGATTGTTGGCAATATTTCTTTAAAAAGACTTGAAGTAATAACTTTGATTTTGGAAGAAAGGACATAATGGAAACCCAGTCACTACCGTATCATGTTTAGTACCCACTTCTTATTTCTCTTAATGTGAAATCACACAGAATTCCTACGTCACCTTTATTATAAGGCAGTAAGACCATACATTCAGGTCATGAGGCCCATGGTCAAACCCCACCAACACAAGGCAGGTTCTCTTCCCCTACTGTATGTATCATGTCCTTGTCACTGATGGTGGGAAAGAGAGTTCCTTCCTTTCTGAGTATTTCTTCTAGAATGCAGCTCCAGCACATTGCTAACATCTGTTTCAGCTGTGTTTTCTATCAAAACAATCTATTAACTGCTATTGTCTCAGATGTTTTCTTAAGATGGCTTCCCTTGAATTTACCCCACAATCCCACAGTGCTTGAAAGTTATCCAGAGTAAAGAAACTTTCTGGAATGTTGGTAGTTTTATATCCATTCAGAGATGGAGAAATTTACTGTATTTTTAATAATAAAAATGTCAAAGATTTCTAGTATTCTCTTTTTCTTTGTTTTCAAAGAGTAAGAGTGAAATGTCCTCATCCATTTTTCACTCCCCTTTTCTGCATTGGGGTTCTAAGCATTGCTGTTGTTACTTTTTGTTTATTTTTGGGGTTGGTCCTTTCCAGTAGTTTCTTCCTTTTTGTTTTCTGAGGTTTTTTGTTTGTTTTCTATTTTAATGTCATGATTTCATCTTCAATTCTCTTACTTGTTTTCTAGTCAAATAACTATTTAAAAATTGTTGGTATAGCATTATCTTAAAAATGTATTTTTTTTAAGGATTGCTTTTATAGTGATGTTGCTGTTCTTGTTGGTAACTGGTCTCCTGTTGACTATGACTCAAAACGACCTTATAACAGTGGGTGTGAATCCTGTGGCATCCTCTTCATCTCTGACACACTCAAGCCCACCATTACAGTCACTGAATCTTCCCCTCCTTCTTTGCTGACCTTTCCAAATATGATGGCCTTTTATTTTTTCTTCCATTTTTTAAAATTAAATTTTAATGGTAGTTTACAGAGACTTTGGATTTCTATTCATACATTGTTGCACACTTTCCTCCTTACCCACCCCTCCCCCCAGTTTGATTTTCTCTTTGAAGAAAAACCAAATTATTTCATTTTTATACAATCCTCCCCCACAAGTCCACTTTACTATGCAGCTCTTACTCTCGACTCTTGTCATGAAAATAATATCTCATCGTATATGTCTTTTAAACAGTTATCTACCTCATCTGTTTCAATGAAGTGTACATTATTTATCCCCTATTTTCTTAAATTCTCCCCAACCATGATGTCAGTCCCCTTTTACAACAGCGGCACTATGCAGTATTTCTCCTTTTGTGACTGAGATATTTCATTCAGCATAATGTTCTCCAGAATCACCCATTTTGTATAATATTTCATGAGTTCCTTGTTTTTCAATGCTGCAAAGTATTCCATTGTGTGAATATACCACAGTTTCTCTATCCATTCGTTTGTTGATGGGCACTTGGGTTGTTTCCATTGCTATTGTGAACAAAGCAGCAGTAAACTTGGGTGTGCATATATATGCTTGGGTAGCAGTTATGGTTTCTTTAGGGTATATTCCTAGTAGTGGAATTACTGGGTCAAATGGTATTTCTATTTGCAACTTTTTGAGAAAACGTCACACTGTCTTCCATAGTGGTTGTACCATTTTACACTCCCACCAATAGTGAATAAATGTTCCAGTTTCAGCATTTGTTGTTTGTTATTCTGCTGAATTTTGCTATTATTACTGGGGTGAGATGCTATCTCATAATTGTGTCGATTTGCATCTCTCTTAGAGCTAGGAATTTTGAACACTTCTTCATGTGTGTGTTCGTCATCTGAATGTCTTCTTTGGTGATGTGTCTGTTCATATCCTGTGCCCATTTTTCAATTGGGTTGTTTACCTTTATCTTGTTGTTGTGCTCAAGTATTTTATAAATTCTAGATATAAGTCCTTCATCAGATATGTCATTACCAAATATTTTTCTCAGTCTATGGCTTCCCTTTATACCCTCTTGGAAAAGTTTTCTGAAGTGCATAGGGATTTGATTCTTAGAAGGCCCAGTTTATCCATTTTATCCTTTCCTGGTTGTATGTTTTTCAAGATGCTTGGAAGACTGTTCATGTTGTGGATAAGGGCTTCTAGAGTTCTTCCATGCTTTTCTCTAATGTAGTTTATAGTCCTTGATTTTAGTCTTAGGTCTTTGATCCACTTTGAGTTGGTTTT